AGTCTGTTTGTATGTTGATATGCTTGTAAATAACATTAACGTAAAAGTCGAAACAACCTAGACTAGAAGTCAATTCACCAGTCCAGCCAGCTATGGCTCCCTAAGTTGCTTATATTTAATCAGATACTATTTCGTCATCATGCTTTGTTACCTTTACCTGTTTATACCTCATGAGGGCGTTTTTTTATGGCAAGATGGCGCAAACGGAAGTCCTTCGCAGGTTTATGGTTTCTCATATTTAAATCATCATAACTCTGAAGATAATCATTTTTTTTTATTTTTTTTTTCAAATTCATAATCAATATACATAACTTGATAAATACAAACACCAAAATAGGCTCTATTTAGTTCCCCTTTAAGCAACCTAAGAGCATATCAGAAACATTTACCCTAAAATATAAAAATGAACTGCAGTCAAAAGTCAAGAATGCCAGCAAATAAAGGACTCTGTCCCGCAAAAAACTGTACCACGCTCGTCAAATCTGGGTCAAATATACAGTACGCTACTATCTTGCCACATATTGTTTAGTAGTGGAGTGTTTGGTGACCATTGAATTAGCCCGTGATTCATATTTTATGTGTATTAATTTATTCATCAATTTTCGTGACTCACAGTACTGCCCAAATTTTAGTCAAAAAAAAAGCAACTGGTGAAACGGAAGAGCATCGCCAGGCGATGTACACGGGGCTCGACCGCATAGAGGTCAAAATACGCGTCCTATTTTTACGCGTTAAGTTTAGCTCTTTCGTTTCACTCCCTCCGGAATGTTTTACTTTCGCAACCACAAAAAAAAAAAACACAAGAATTAGTAGAAATGTTCCTGTTTTGGGCGGATTATTGATAGAGAATAATGTCTTTATTACAAAAATGCTGAAAACCGTGAATTTCTTGCCTTAGTGCGAACTTGGCAAATTTGGTTGCACAACTTTCCTTTATCATATACACCCAGCAACACCGATGCCAGCTGACTGTGTACAAAACTGGTAGGAGGTAATACATTTGGCGAAAGTAGTTAAAAGCCGTTGCTGGTGAAAAGTTACCTCAACTTTGAGGTCAAATTTCTCAGTAATGAAAAAAGATATAAAAATTCAATTAATAACTTTGTGCCCACACTCAAGCTGAGTAGAATGAGCTATGTCTGAAGTGTTTTATCCCAAATTTGTAGGAGGAGATACATTTGGCGCGAAGCTATCCAAAAATTAGTTTTTTGGCTCAACGGTGGGCCAAAAAAAAATTTTCAGATGTTTCCTAATAACTAGGGTGAAGGTGTGACCTACCTGCCAAGTTTGAAAGAAATCCGCCATGCCAAAAAAATCACAGAAAAAATCATTTGTGAAAACGAACAAAACGACAAAAGTGATTATAAGGGCAATCCTAACGGAGCAGATCGCCAATACTTGTATTACAAGCTTTTGGTTTGTTGTCGTTGGTAGGGTTCATCGTCTGCCCGTCTCAATATATGCGATAAAGAACTCGTCGACTGTTGAAAGATTGATAGTTGAGAATAAAAAAACTACCACAAAACTAAAAGCTACAGAACTGCAGCAAGGACCACAAAAGTCTCATCTAGGAAAATAATTTAAAACGCGGATACCAGTTCAATCACGTCATTTCACTGGGACAGTGTGTAACTATTTAAATAATTAACTCTATAGTTATTTTGTCTAGACTCCTTTTCCATTATTGTAGACAGAAATATAGTAAACATATTCAACTATATCTTGACTGACTGGCAATGGTGAACATAATTTAATTTAACAACAAAATCTCAGATCTTCTTAATATTTACAGTTTTTTAATGCTTTTATTTGTACAGTGTTTTTAGCTGTGTTTAGAAAGTAGCATGCAAGGGATGTCCAGTTGTCCAGTTTTCTTCAGGGTCAGTTGACTGAGTTCCCATACATAGCCTGTGGTTGAGTTGACCCCACTTAGTTAGTGTTATCCTAGACCTTTTAAAAATGGCAGTTTTACTGTGCTTGGCTACTGAGCATCCAAGAAACAATGAAGAGTTGATATTTTGATTTAATTAAAATTATATAGTATATTATGCAAATTAGCCCCATGCCTGACATTTATAAGGTGTAACACTGTGACTATATACAATGTATGACATACTGTAAAATACTTTATTTTCACTTGGAATTAATTTTCGCTTTTTTTGCTGAAGGAATGATTCAGTGAAAATAAAATCCAGCGAATATACCTTTTTTTCTATATTTTACATTCAACTCGTCATAAATCAGTGAAAATAAATTCCATACAAAACACCCAAAAAGTCTTTTTAGCGAAAATTAATTCTAGCTAAAGTATTTTACAGTATTATCTAAATCTAAAGATTGTTCACCTATACCAAACTACTAATGGTAGTTTTCAAGGTCCATTCAAGACTGAATAGGAGTGGATATTATAAAAAATAATAATAATCAAAATTCTGGTTGAATAATTGTGAATTAAAACAATTTAGTTTGTATATAGCTCCTCTGACCACACCAACCCTCCCGAAACTAATGCTGACAGAATCCTTCTTAAAGTTTGTATTATTGGCAAAACATAGTCTAACATATTGCGCTGTTTATCGACTGGAATGAATAAATTCTGTATTGGGTGTCCCTGGTGTGTGTGCTTAATACAACGTAGCAAACAGAATTTTGCCAACAATGCAACCTTAAAATGAACTATTTTTATTTATTCTGCATGTCTAGGTATTTGAAGAGAGAAGAGATTTGGTTGGAAAATGGGTAGGTACAAGTATATGATAATGTATGTGTGTATAAAACAAGCCACATGGCAACTGTAATGTAATCTGATTTATATATGTACATCTACAGTATTGCTTTAATGCAACCTGTCACGATTTTCACATCACACATCAATCATGTTTTGATCACATAACTATGTATTTCACATCACACATCAATCATGTTTTGATCACATAACTATGTATTTCACATCACACATCAATCACATTTGGGTTGTGGAATTATGCCTTTCCACCTCGTTCGGGTTGCATATTTGTGTCTCGTATTTTAATCGTTCTGAATATACACTAAAAAAAACATAAACATCGCTGATGGTCATTATCTAATAAAAAATATAATCACTATGACTGATCTAGTCTATTCGATCGAAAATTTGATGTTGTAATATGAACCACAAAATGCGATAGTAGGGCGATGCGCTTACATGTATGTGAAACAGATTGGGCGAAAGTCATATATGGGTATGGTAAATTAGTCACATGGCAACTATACTGTTATACTATTTGTACAAGTATACATGTATATACAACACCAAGATTGTCATAAGATATATTCTATTATAAGAGAACCATTAGAAGTGCATATAAATTCAGTTTAGTATTGTAATTTAGATATCAGACCTTAATTTTGTTCTAGATTAGGCATGTTGAACAACAAATATCTGTGATATCAAAATATACTGAGTGATTTTAACGTAATCTGCATTGGTTTTAATTTTGTTGGTAATGTGTACAAAAGTATACATGGGACAAAACAAAATCATCTTTTCTGAGTTGGTCCTCGAGTATACATGTAATCTCATCCCTTACTTTTCCCTTACGTGTTCATGCCTCCGGGCTTATGATCAGGGAAGTACGGTATACTGTGAAGATTCAGATCAGTCCAGTGTAAGTGATGAGAGTATATGGTCGACGATGCCCCTTGTTCGGATGGTAGTTTTATTTCAAATTATTTAGTACACGGAAGTCTGTGAACAATCTGCTTGGTGTTTCTGTGACAAGTCATATATGGGTACACTAGCCACATGCCGACTATACTGTTATACTATTAATTTGTATACAAGTATACATGTATATACAACACCAAGATTGTCATAAGATATTATAAGAGAATCATTAGAAGTGCATATAAAATCAAATTACTATTGTAATTTAGAAATCAGACCTTAATTTTGTTCTAGATTAGGCATGTTGAACAACAAATATCTGTGATATCAAAATATACTGAGTGATTTTAACGTAATCTGCATTGGTTTTAATTTTGTTGGTAATGTATAGGAAGTATACATTGGAACAAGTTTCAAATATAAACTACAGTGCAGTAAGATCTTCTTGAATTGATTTCAGTGTAAAAACAGCATGGTTTTTTGTTTTTTTTTAAGTTTATTAGTAATTTGTTGAAAAACAAACATTTTCATGGTGATAGCAGATCATTGTTGAGTTTACCTGTTTATGCTATTTACAATAACAAAAACATAATCTTGAAACGATGTCAGTGACTACGAAAAAACTTGAATTGTTCTCTAATGTAGGCACCAGGAAAGATTGTGCTAAATGGAAAGATTGTTTTGAAATTTGAGTACCAGTACTAACGATATATTGAATCATTAAAATATGACTTTTTTTTTATCCTAGGCACACCTCTAATTTATTATAGCTCAAAAGAGCAAATATTGTAAAAAGTTTAGAATTTATGGATTTAGCAATTATACATGCTATACAGATACTTTTACATTCTTACTCAGTTATTTTTGTTTATCATTATCTGTTCTCACTCAGTACGACAAATGGGGTGACAGTCAGCGCAAACGTGTGTTACAAGACATCATTTTGAAAAGCAGTAAAAGCCAATTAGAATTCTGTATGAAAGTAACCGGACAGGTTCTGCCAATTGACAGTCAGGATTTCAGTGGAACATTACCGCGATGTCTCGCCATTTACATCTTCACTTTTCTGGATCCCCGGAGTTTGTGTCGATGTGCTCAGGTGAGTGAAAGTACTCGGTATGTTTTTATAAACGCACAGGGTTTGCGCTAATGTCTCAACAAGTCCCACTTATAGAAATTGAAATTTGACCCTGGATAACTTTATTAGAGATTGGACCCCAGCTTGCCTGAAAAAATGGGTCCCTCTTCAATAATTGGAGTCCGGAAAGCAAAATATGGGGTTAACGCAATCCCTGGAGGCAGGCCTAGTGAGGGGTGGGCAATTTTGTTAAGTTTAAATTTGGACAAAGTGCCATGATTGTGACCATCTGTTTGCATTGACTATAGATAAATCCGATGACAATTACATTTATTGTGAAGTTTTAATCACTTTTAATTTCTGTCTCAAAATGACTATTTTGAACTGTGGGCGTTAATCTGCGATTCAGCCAATGACGGAGAGAGAAATCTAGGTCAGGGGAAGCCCCATGACCTCAAGATTTTCCTTTTATGTCACGAATCACGTGACCGAGGTAATGAGGCGATGCCATATTGGCTCCCCAATCAGTCTCGTTTTTCTCCGCATCGAGTGAGGTGCCCGATAAAAAAGGTGCGATCAGCTCATCAGATTTTTTCCTGTCCGAGTTTTCAGTCTGACTAGCTGTCACCTGATTTTACTTGCATATTTACAATTCCAATTTGTCAATGATTGATCACTTTGGTTTTTCACCCCCGTCCTAGAACTGTTTGGAAACCAGCTAGTTTTACATGCGATTCAAATAAAGCTTTAAAATAAAACCATTGTTATTGGTCGTACAATGTCCTGGTGATGTCCATATTCACAACTTAACGACATCGTTATCTGAACATAACATATGGATACTTTCACATCAGCGATTCGCAAGTAATTTTCGTTTTTGTCTTCTAGGTGTCTTGGTATTGGAAGTATCTCACGGAACTGGACCAGGTGTGGATGCCAAAATGTCTTAAATTAGGATGGTATTTGACATTCAGTCCAAGTCCTTATGAAACTGGTATTTGGAAGAGACTGTACCTTGAAAATGTTAGGGAGATAAATTTACTAGGTCCAAAGGTAAAGTTTTTTTTTGGACTCCTAACCTACTGCATTTGCTCTATTAGAAGCGGATCTCTAATAGAGAACGCACATAAACTAAAAATTGAATGTATTGTATTCATTGTTATTCAAATATGATTTATTATTACCGTAAAATCTGCATTCGAAGCTTCATTCCTAATAGAAGTTGCACCCATCATTTTTGAACAACTGAGAATTTCACAATTTCTCATATGTGCAGATGCTCTCATAGAAGCCATATCCCCTCTGTTACATTGTACCATTTTAATAGATTTTACAGTGCTGTAAATACACCTGTGTCATTTACATAAGTGCATACACTATTGATAAAACAAATACATTTTGATCATCTGAATCTCATCACTGGAAATGTCCTGCTTCACTCAGTCACTTTCCTCATTTACATGTACTTGAAAGCCAGGTGATGACATGTTGCCATTCACATGATGTTCAATTGTTATGTCATCCTTGGGTAAGAATTCTGCTGATGTAACATTGTGTATATAACTACAGAACTTGAACTTTGTTTTATTCATGGGGAACACAATTTTAAACCCAAAATTAAAAAAAAATGATATTATATGTGCTCAGACTCATTGAAAATATGAAGTAACTATCTCATTGTTAATATTCAGTAGAGCATATATTGGCCTACCTAAGTGGCCCTGAATTGTGAACCCTGGTAATGTTTCGTGATCAATTAGATATGCACTTGTTTCTCCTATCCTTTCCTATTAGTCTTTCACAACAACAATCAGTGGTAAGAATCATTTACACATTGTCTGTTGAAAACCTTCACAGACAAAAAACAAAGAGTCCGCAGGCAATGTATTAATGCTTTGAACTACATGTACATAATTCATCCAAACATTCTTAGTGCAATTTTTTTTTTTTAATTTTTATGTATTTTTCTCTAATTTGTTAATTTTAATGTACAATAATATATTATGTATAATTTCTCATGGGATTCAGGTCTTGATAACATTTTCAAATAGATATGAACTTTATATTTTGTAAAAAGTGACGAACTTACTTTTCAGAGGGTGTCATCTTTTCTGGCTCACTACATTACCCTGTTAGCATCTTGACTTATTGCTGTATACAATAGTAGAATTATTATCTTAGGGGTAGACACTAATTTGTTTGTAACTGCTTTTGGCCAAATCTGACAGAAGTGTGTCAATCTTCAAATGTTGTTTTTATTCCCCATGAATAAACTGAAAGAAAAGATTAATAAATTAATTTGATTTTGATTGAACAGAAGAAAAGCAGATCTCCGCAGGCGGGCGGGTCGCATATGACAAATGGACATACCACAATGAATGGTAAAGAGAAAAGAGTTGAGTTTGAAAGGACAACCAAGAAACCACCAAGAGGGAAAACGAAAACAGGGCCCCCTCTAGAGTTACCACCGTGGAGAGGATCTGATCCTGTAGTTAAAGATACTGTTCGATATAACTATCTTGATAACGATGATGAGGTTCTAAAATCAAGGTAAATAAAATACCCCCCCTACCAATGTCTGATTCCTGCTGTAAATTTTTGAACATTTCACTTTTCTGCAGCTGTTATTTAGAACAGACTGAATTTAGTTGCTTAGTATTTTACTATATTTTTATGATATTTATAATTATCTATTTTACGTTTTGCATACATTTGTATATATACATTTTTTTTTTGATGTTTGTATCTTTGTGTTACACATACAATTCCTTTCACCAGAAATCAGCGAATACTGAAAGGAAATTCAACCTCTGACCTCACCGATGGCATTGATGATACACAAAAGAAGAAGTTCTCATCCACGTTAACCAATTATAAACTTAAAAAAGCAAACTCAGCTTCTGTAAGTTTCCATCAACAAATATCCCAGCACTTATAATAATTCAAAATTTTACGAGGTGGCACTTAAATCCTCGGACTGGGCAATACAGTAAAACACAGTGAAATTTTGTTGCTGTGCATTTTCTTTCTAAAAACACTCACCATTTTTTTTTATTGCTTATTCATTCCTTATTTGGAATATTTAATATCCTTATAAGGTAAGATGGTTATATAATGTAGTCCCAAACATGGAAATATAGTTTGTGTTTCATACATCCTATACTCCTTTAGTACTTGGATTTATCACAAATATTAATATCACATAAAAAAATGTCAGGATAGAAAAAAGCACCATTAAATGACTAGTGATTTGTTTTGTTAAATTAATAATTTCCAGAATATCAACCAGAAGAATCAGCGACCGGGATGGGCGCAGCACCAAGATGGAGATCCATTTGTTAACATGTCCCTCAACTTTGACATCTCCAGTTCTATGAAGAGGCCATCACCTGTACAAAAAACAAGTACACCGACACAAAGTCATACGACAAAAAGAGATATAACCTGTAAGTTAGTATTAAAATACAATAAGACTTACTTCGAGTGGAATTTCGTCCAAGGTGGAATTGTAAATATAAATAATGATATAAAATAGAGCAAGATAGAATATTTCATAAATCTATCCACTATCTTCTCTAAAACCATTGAACCTTTACAATTGGTATTTATCCTGTATACATTTGTATTTTTGCAGCTCTATGGCTGATAATCTCCGAGTACTCTAAAATTTAAATGATTTTGAGAATAAGGCATAAAAAGTTCATTTCATAGCAGTTCCAATTCTCCAAATCTTAAAATTGCATTCCTAGATGATTCATTAAATGTTATTGCCTTTATCAGGTCTGGTAGAACTATCGTGTAAAACATTTTATGAGCCGTATTTGCATGAATTGTAATAAATATTTCACCTTTCCAGTTTTCTTGAATTCCGAAGCTGTATTTATAATGAATTACTGAATTAATCAGGTCACATGATCTGTTCCATGCCCTCACTCTTCCAATTTATTTCTCAACAGCTACAAAGCAGTTCCAGTCGCAACCATGGCGACAAGTGGATACCTACTTCTCCGATGACGATTAGTAGTTGTATAATTACAGTTGAGTGGTACAGCAGAAGAGTGTTTCTTATCTCTATAGCCCTGCTTATAAGTTGTCTTGTCATGCAAGCAATTCTGTCAGCCCATTCGGTGTCTGGATAACATTTCGCTGTACATTAACCAATTGTATTAAGTATTTTGAAAATTTTGAGTTTAATACTTTGATTATCAAGATGCATTGTAAATAGTTATGACTAGTCATATACTGGAAAACTGAGCTCACTTCACACCATTGTAATATTTTAAATCAAATAAGGGGTGTAATAAGAAATAAGTTGTTAATTTAATTATTCACTGGGTTTTAATTTTGCTTATTTTGCTGACTGGAAAATGCGCTACATTAAAACCCAGTGAATATGTAAAATTTAGCATAGAACACATTATCTAAATGATAAAACCGTGAATTTAAAACCCACTGAATATGCCTGAAATGATAAACCAGCGAAATTTAAACCCAGTGAAAATTAGTCATTTTACAGCATATAAAATGAATATATATTTATATTATTAGCTTGCAGATGAATTCTGAAACGTGATGACTCTGATTTGCTGCAGTCACTTATAGGTAATTTGGTGCTTGTCAGCGATATAATTACCAAACTCAAATTCATTCAAGTCCCAAGCCATGATAACAACACACGTTAAAAATGCAAAGGCTCATGGGTAGATGCTTGTTTGTAAACAATGACACGCTATGGCCATCTGACGCATGCGCAGGGGACGACTCTCTCGCTTTAACATTAGTCTCTCTACCTTAAAGACTCATTTCAGATAATCAAATTACCACATGTTAATGTCACAGCTGATGTGCTTGAAGTGAGCCCTCACATATCAGGTTTCAGAAAAATTGGTGTCACTGGAGGGTAGTAGTCACCATGAAACTGACATGCTAAGATATATATTTTATTATTTCTGAAATGTAATTATATTTTCTGTTGATTCATTCGTATATAATTCTTTTGTTTAAATATAAATAATTTGGAGCATGAAATTGGACATTTTGAACACAAGTTATTTTTTTTTCAAATCATGTAAAAATGGACAGTTTTTAAGACTTCATGCATTTTTGACAAAATATGAAATGTGCCAATTTTTATTTAACTTATACCCATATATTATGTAAGTTATACTTAATCAAGTTTTTATAATGTTAGAATTTATTTGTCACAAGTATGTGATGTGATTTTTTAGCTGATTCGTATTCATAATGGCATATTTTAATGCAAAGATCAGAAACAATGTAAATTAAGTTTGTACTGAGTAAATTGTGAATCTGCAAAAAATATCACTGTAAGAATGGTCACATAATACAGGTGATTTACCAGTACTCAGGTTGCTGCTACGTTATGCATTGGGACTGCCTAAAAGTGGTCACTATAGACAGATGATCTTTATATAGAGATTATCACTAATCAAGCATCTACATGTATCCTACAGGAAACGATAATCAGTACATTTGTCAGATTTGATTACACATCACACAACTCTCTGGATTGAAAAATACTTGCATACCTTGTGCATAACTCTAGAAAAATCTTGTGTAGTTGGGATATTTTAGAAAACTTTGTAAATATTTTATAAATGAAAATAGTTGAAATTATTTATTTTTCATCTTAAACTTCATTAGATGTAAATATTATTTCTCCTTAATAATTATATATGAATAAAAAAAGATTACCAAGTACATTGATAAAGATATGTTTTATTATGTTTTAATAAAATCATAAAAGTACAAATCTAAAGTACAAGATATACCTGCTGCCCTCATAGTTCACTAACAGAAATGCAGAATGGTTAGATTTACATGCTGCCCTCGTATTTCACCAACAGAAATTCTGAATTACCAGATGTACTTGCTGCCTACTGAAATGCCACACACGGCTGTTATAACATTGCACAATTCTGAAATGACATGCAACTGGAAAGATTACAGTATTATTTAGTTGCCATAACAATAAAATGATGCACATTATTTCAAAAGATGCAAGGAACTGAGTAGGGTCTGTAAGAACCAGAACTTAAGAGTGTGAAGAATAAGTTTTAAATAGTTTATCCATACCCTGGCTTTTTTTAAATGGAATGTGCCTAAACACAGTGATGCGATTGATAGATTTGGCTGTGGTTGTCGAGCGTTTAAATTTCATCCAATTTATTCTACACAGTATTTTCGCTATGAGTCCCATATCGAACAAGACGCAGCAACCCAAATTTATCTGCAGTGCGAGATTGGTAGTAAGCTTTTGTGTGCTTAAGTTTTAAGAGTGATAGATGAGACGTGTGATCGCTTTCCCCAAATGACATACCCTGCTTATTCACTAAACAAAAAAACAATAATTCCTCATTGAGTTGTCACATAATAATTATTGAAAGCATTCTTGTTTCTGTTATTAAGATTAAAAATCTACCCCAGAACTCTAATCTAATGGTCCATGCTTAAAATGCAATGCAATGATAATTCATTCAAAACTTGTTATTCCCCAAAATGTTGTTTCCATGGCAACTAGATAACAACTCTACCAAAATCAAAGATATTGATTCTTGTGCCAAAGGCAACCTCTATCCACAACTTTTTGAGATGTAAATAAAAATCACAAAATTTATTTTTGTTTCCATGGCAACCAAATCCCTATCTACAAACATCTAATTAATAGGTTCATGTCGCAAGAGCAACCCCTTCAAACAAAAAAACATTTGCTCTTAATGATACATGCAGATTGTAAACCATTAAGTTTGCATTTATATACATAACAGAAAATTTACGTAACTATTGTTTCTATGGAAACAGACATGTCCATTCGTGGCCAAGAGCTAAAAAAAAGATATTTTTAGTCCATGATCGTGATAATGTTGCTTGTAATCCTTAATCATAATCCACTGCTAATTGGTGCCAATGACTTTAATGCAAATGACTTACTTCCTGTTCTAGTGATAATGTTACGCAAGTCAACAAAAATGCCAATGGGGATTATGTCTTGCGTTTTGAAAGGATTCTTACGTGAATTGTTACCATTGTACGCAGATCACTTGATATACAATGTTTTCTATTCATCTTATATTCTGTAGTAACTATGCCGACAGTCCAGTATTGAATAGTTTTATCAATAATTATAATTATCCATGAGGTAGACACGTGGTTTGTACATAATGAGGGTAAATTCACAAACACTTCTGGAAAAGCTAAAATTCAGTCGTGATAAAAAGACTAAAATAAGGTGGAAATAACATACCCAACCTAAGATCTCTTATATAAAGAAGTCGTACTATATTGGAGAAAATTTAGAAGTCCACACAAAACAAACGACTAAAAACAA